GGTGTGAGGGGGGGGTTACCCCAAAATGGGGCCGAGCCCAGCTCCCAGCATGGGGCAGTGTGGATGCGTGGGGCAATGGGACCACGGAACCATGGCACAGAGCTCCCTGCTCAGCCCACTGCAAACAAAGGCAGGCAGAAGGAGATGGGCGCGTGGAAAAGAGAGAGCAGAAAGAGGGGAAGGGGGGGGGGGAGGGGGTCAGGAAGTGGAGGGGAGGGAAGGAGACTCCCTGAAGATCCTGCGGAGTTGGCGAGTGTCAAAATATCAACAGCTGTTCCCAGAGCACAAAATAAACACATTGGAAACGCACGCGCTCTGCAGAGCTGCGCTGCCCGCGCCAAGAGCCGCTCTGTTCCCCCGCCAGCCCCGGCACCCGGCTCTGCTGGATGGCAGCTCTCGGGGTGTGCCAGCCCTGCTCACTGCCAGGCAGCACCCGGCCAGCCAGACACAGCACCACCGCCCTCTGCTCCAGTGATGGAAAATGAACCCGGAAAGAAGCGTAGGGCGATCGATAATGAAAACGCTGAGCACATCGCCGATGCCCAATTGAAATATTTCAAGTCGTTGCACCCCTTTCTTAAAGCCTCCCATCCCAGAACAAAGGCAAAATCCCAAATCTGCCCTTAACTGTTAAACACCGCTTTGAAATGAAAAATCTCATCTTGAAATAAGCAATCTGATGCATTGTGAGGTTTTGGGAAATGAAGAGCCTTCCTTCTTTTTGGGGCCAAAGCAGCAGTCAAGCTCAAGCTCCGGTTCAGCAGCCCCCCTGCCCTGACCCTTGGGGCTGTGCCAGGCAGCATTGGGGTATCTCAGCACGGTACGGTACAGCACGGCCCCGCAGCTTGGCAACCTGCACTAGCGCAAGAAAGAAGATGACCAAGTTTGGAAATGTTGCTAAATAATTTCTACCAGATGTGTTTCCTTGTTCCTTTGTCAGTGCCTGCACCCACAAACGGGGCTCCTCAGGTTCAGGGGCTGCTCTCCCCCCACACAGAGCCAGGCAGCACCACAGCAGCTGGGAGCCCATAGAGGGTCCATTCCGTGAACTTCGCATCTCACAAAGCCATTTGGAAGAGCAGAAACAAACACTGCGAAGCGCCTGTGAAGGAATACGCTGGAAAGCATTGCTGCAGCTTAGCTAAAATGGTTGGGGCTTGACAAAAGCGCTTGGAGTTTATTTTGATTTTGACTTCCAGCAAAATGATCTACCGTGTAAAAATAATACAGAAGACAACAGTTGTGATGCAAAACACAATGCAATATGATAAATAATGAAAATATTGAAATACAAGCTGTTTGCAAATTAAAAATTGAAACAACTTGATACGAGAATGTCACAGAGGGTGTCACAGCATGCTGAGTGCTTTTCCAGCCTCCCCCCCCAAAATAAAACCCTGCTGCAGAGCTCCAGCACTGGGCTGCTGGCACACAGCTTGGCAGCTGCTGGCACCGGAGCACAGTGCACCCTCTGCCCCATGGTGTGCCCCCAGCTCTGTGGTGATGGCAAACACACAGATGTGCAAAGGAGCAGCCATTGCCATGGCAATACAACACAACAGGCAGTGGGTGGGGAACCAGGATGGAACAGGGCAGGGCTCCCCATCCTGCAGGGTTGGATCCTGCGCTGCCCCAAGCCCCACAGGGCACAACCCTCTTCCAAAGCCATGTTCAGACACAATAGGACGATGGTAGCATCAGGAAAGGAGGGAAAAATATCTCCTCATGCCTCTCCTAGGAAATCACAGCTCAATAACTCCCCCCGAAGATGCATATTTTAGCAGCGTTGTCATCCACATATTTATCTTCTCAGTAAGCCCCGAGAAAAGGCCAACACTGTGCACACGCGAGAGCTGCAGCTGGTGCTGCTTCCTGCATGAGGCCACAGCTGTGGGGAGGGCTGAAGGACGGGAGGGGTCTGCCCTGGGCAGGAGCCACCACAGTAGGTCACCCCACTCACACACAGCCTACCTGTGTCAGAGGTGATGGAGCAGTGCTACAAAACACACTGGTGTTCACAAGGTTTTGTGGCATAGCACAGCACATAGCATGGCATGAACACTGATATCAAACGAGGGAACTCCAGGGAGTCACCAAAGGGGCTCTTTTCCAAAATGAGGTCTAGAGGAATCATAGAATCACAAAGGTTGGAAAAGAGATCACCCAGTCCAACCATCCACCTACCACCAATATTGCTAAAGTACTACAAACACGCTTTCCTTAAAAACCTCTAGGGATGGTGACCCCACCACTCCCTGGGCAGCCTGTACCAGCCCCTGACCACTCTGAGAAGACATTCTTCCTGAATGGGCTCGAGACCTTCTTCAAAAATGGGCACAGAGCTGCAGCTGTGGAGACGGGGTTTGGCAGAACAGGAGGACTGATCTGAGCGCCAGTGCCTGGAAATACATGGTCTGTCCATGGAGACAAGTAACACTGCAACAGCTCCTACGCAATAAATGCTTTACATGATAGTGCAACAAGAGGCCAACTGCAAATGCCCTATCTCCTGATGAGCAAAGACACAATTCCTGGTAAAGATGGATGGTGGCCCTGCACTGCCTTCCCAGCAGTACCCACTGGACATAGGGCCAGCCCCACAGCACAGCTCCCTGCTTCCATACCCTGAGCCACAGCAGTCACTCTCATAACCCAAAGCAGACAGCAGCAGTGGGCAGGATGAGGAGCACTGCTGTGCTGCTACAACATGCTGAAGGATGCACTTGTGCACCACACAGAGCCCAAAACACCCCAACCTGAGCTGCCAGCGTGTGAGAAAACAACCAGGGTGCTGAGGGCACTGCTGCACGTACAGAATGCTAATTAGAGGGTTTCCATCAAAAGACAGGCTGGGTAAGGTTCCCAATTATCCAGACAGGGATACAGATTTTAATGGGCACCAGCACTCCCAACAAAGGTCTGCGTGCTGCTCCTGACACAATCCCATTCAGGCAGCTTTTGTGAGCCTGTGAGGGAGCGGTGCTGGGAACACCACCATCGCTCCAGGCAGAGGACAGGGCTGGAGCAGCTCTGCTTACAAGGAAAGATCACACCTAGCTCACAGCAGCAAGAAGTTTCACCCTGTCTGATCCCACCCACCACAGTGCTGCCCTTCGGAACCCGCTGCTGCGTTCCTTCTGCAGCGCTGCAAACGCATGCTCAGAGACCTGTCGTTTGCACAGAGAAAGCCACACTCCCACTCACTCAGCTCTCACCAAGGGCACCCTCACCAGCAACGCCTGCACCCGCTGGTGCCAGCAGCACCGTGCCATGGCCGCCCGCAGCCGCCACACGCTGTGACTCAGGCAGCAGGAATGTGGGAGCTCAGCCCCATGCGGCGCTGAAAGCCTTTTAATTCCAGCCTGGTGATGAATGGGTAAGGCCTGAAATGAAATGTTCGGAGGCTCAATGTACCAGGCCTCCCGCTTGTAATTATTTTTGTACAGAATATGTCAAGTGTCGTGCTTCACAAGAACTCGTTTAGCATGCAAACATTTTGTGATTAAGTGAGGCTTACTTAATTAAGCACTTTGTAATGACTCTTAAACCAAAGAGTAGTGGATTAGTGCGTCCTATTTGTGTCTATCATGTTAAAGGCGCGGTAATAACAGGTTGCTGCAGACAATTAGGGTTAGAATACAGAGTGGATGGAGGGAGAACCAGCAGGCTTCCAGAGCCCCACCACTCGCTCATGCCCTGATTTAAAGCCACCTCAGCACAGACAAAGCAAATGCGTTCCCTGCATGTGCTACTGAGCTGCAGTGCTTTGCACTGCTGAGTGCCACGTATCAGGTTGTTCCGAGGGGCCCACAGCAAGCAGGAGGCTGGGTGGGGTGGGCATTATCCCAGGATATGGCCCCCACCCCAGCCAAGACCACAGGTATGAAATTGCCACAACAGCAGCCTGCTGGTGATTTGCTCGTGGTTCCAAACCACCATGTTTGCATGCCGATATTGATGACAGAGTGGCACAGCCCATGCCCGCAGTGCTTTTAGGGCACAGCCTGGGTGAGGGTCTTCTCCACGCCAGGAAGAGAGCACAGTGGGTGTGGGTCTGTGCCCTGAGCTCACCAACCACCCACATTAGCTGCTGTCACCACAATGGCACTTCTAAGCCAAGGAGGACACGCACAGCTGCGTGACTATGGAATCATCTGAGTAGGAAGGGACACACCTAGTCCAACTCCTTTCAACACACGGGGACATCCACAGCTCCATCAGGTGCTCAGAGCCCCATCCCCTCACCTTGGGTGTCTCCAAGGGCAGGGCTCAGCCCTCGATGCTGGTGAGGCTGCCATCAAGCCCGTCTCCTGACATGGTTTATCTCAGCAATTCTTGGTCACCCTACACCACTCAATCAAATAACAGCTTGCCGTGTCCCTCTCCCTTCAGGGCATCTATCAGGCCCGGAGTTTACCTGATGCTATCACAGTACATCCTGAGCAAGGCACTGCTTGTTGCTTCAGCTCCTGGCCACAGAAGGTGCAAGCCACCTCCTGCGGTCATTTGTGACGTCTCAGAGGCACTCCAGGTCACATTCGAGAACCGATGGGCTAAAAGACGAACACCCGGAGATCCTCCGGAGCCCACGGCGGCGGCGCTGCCCCTGCAGGCGAGGACGGCACAGAGCGGCAGCTGCGGGCGCTGCTCTCCGCCGCAGCCCGGAGCCCTTTGTCTCACCGCGGCCGGGAGCACAAAGGCGCTGCCGAACCCGACCCGGGCTCTGGAGGGCGTGCGGTCCCCGCGGCCCGGCCCGGCTCTGGGACCCGGCCAAAGGCAGCACCTGCAACGTCTCCTCGCTCCCTTCCTGTGTGCTCGTGCAGAAATACCGATGTGCTGATGGTACAGCCGGAGGGCTGGGGGAGAGGGAGGCTGTTTGCTATGGTAACGGTCCGACAGCGAGCCGGGAGCTGCAGCGTGTTCGGGAAGCAACGCTCAGCCCCTCCTGTTCCCAGCCCCGGGGTGATGCGTTTGTCACAGGTGCTGCCACCACCCCGTACATCACAAATTATCTCATTACTCCCCACCAACTAATTCATTTAAAGGACTAAAGCAAGCAGCACATCAATCCAGCAAGTACAGTGAAGGTGAGAGGCAGAGCTCCAGCTCCATACATAGCACATACCAGGAGCAGTGTTCTAAAAGTACCAGGCATAGGGCAGCATGGAGCACTCCGAGGACTGCAGAGGCTGAGCAACACTGCTCCCATTGCACACAGTAAGCACCGGGCCAAAAGTGCCCGGGGCTGCACTGAGGCAGGGATGGAGGTGGTAATTCCTGCAGTTCCTGCTTGGCTTGCTGCAGGAGGTGGGAGACACGGCCAAGGGGAGAAATTAAGGTGCACGGAGAAGTGCTCAGCCAAGCCCTGTGCCTCACTCCCTTACTAACAGTGCCATTAAACCCCACGCTAATCCAGTGGGTTCTGCTCCTTTGTTCACTTTTGAAAGTAGAAAAGCTGAGACAGTACTAATCCCGGAAAATCTTTCCCTTCAAATCAAGAAAGAATTCTGAGTTTAACAAATAAACATACTTACCTTCATCTGCATGGGCTTACAGAGCTCCAAGCCAGTGGTTGTGTGCATTAGGGCCAATTCTTCTCTGTCCTGAAAAACATGAAACTCCTATCATCTTCCCTGCAGTAAAACAGTGCTACAAGCAAGCAGTGCCCTCAGAGCAGAAGGCAACAGTGCAGCAATGTTAAGGCTCAGAGCTTTGATACCACTCACCCCCTTGCCCCCAGCTCCTGATTTTCAAATGCTCAGAAGACAACAGGTAATAATAAATCTGGATATTTTACACTTTTTCATTTCCTCTTACCTCACATTTAATGAGATTTCTCCCTTAACAAAGGTACTATTGAAACTGACTCTTAAACAAGGCCAGACAGGGGCTGGAGCACGCTGGGGATGGGCAGGGGAGGAGGGCTGTAAAGGACTGGGGAGGAAAAGGGACCTCAGGAAGCAAGTAGCTTGGCTTTAGTTCAAGATTTGAGGGAAGGCTTAAAAGGGATCTTATTTTATCTCAAGCACATACCCAGCCTGGAAATCATCTCCTCCTTGGCATTACATGGGGCTGAGCCTGGTCTTACAGAGCCCCAAGCACAGGAGATTTACTGCTGCAGTACCCTCAGCTCCTTCAGCACAGGTGAAATTTATACTGCTAAGAGGGACACCAGCTGAATGCCCTTGCAAACATCAGCAGGGGATAAACAGTGGGACTGCCATTAGCATAGCTCAATCACTATTAATTTACATTGGATCCCCCCTGAGCTCAGGAAGGAGAGAGGCTGTGCAGCATAGGGCTGGTAGCATAAGGATGCTACTGGGAGGGAAGGGGGGACAATGGTTTGGTCCTGTACTGTGTATGGGGGAGAGAGATTGCTCATTCCAAACTTAAACCATCCTTGAACACAATGCAAACCCAGCAGCTTTAACTGGGAACTCCTCAACTTGCACTGCAGCTCTGAACTTGGAAAAGCCAAAACATTCTGCAAAACCTCCAGCTCTGTGAGATTTTCCAAGCCCTCAATGCCTTATGTTTTAGTAGCTGTTGAATTTCAGAAGTTCAGTGTTGCAACTGAAGGCGATTAACGAGCAAAGGGAGGGAGGGGATCAAAGCTTCCACTCTTGTGAGCACTCTCAGAGGAGGTTGCAGGTGGAAGTGGTGCTTCTCAAGCCGGCTGTGATCGCACTGCTCTGTTGGATGCTGAGGCGATGGCTCAGCTCTGCTTGCACTCCCCGCTCTCCTTTTGTTCCCATTATCATTCTATTGGTACAACTCCTTTTGTTTCTCACAATGTTAAAAAGACATAATTAATTAATTGGGATATTTGAGCCTGCTTTCTTGCCCATCGTACAGAAAGGGGCTGGCTTTGCGCTCTGTCCCATCCCCACGCTGGGTGCTTGTGCCATGGGAGTGATGCTGAGTACTGGGAACCAGAGAGCATCCCATGCCTGAAGGCACTGCTCCATAGGGCAGGGAAAAGCCAGCAAACTGAAATGCCAACGCACCCAAAGGGGAAGAGCAAAGGCCAAACACAACTATGGGAAGGAGCTCTGGTGGCAGAGGCCATCAGCGCAAGTGCAGCGCGGTGCCGACATCTGCTTGCTGCGACGCGGAGCTCCAGCCTGCGAGGCCTGGAAAAATGCAGCACTGTTTTAGTAACTCCAGGCAGTTGGCAGTTTTACTTTAAATTGCAGCGTTAATCAGAAACACATTGTCCATATTGTCAACACTTCGTTTAACCACTTCTATAAATTCGGTATTAGCGTTAAAAAGATTCTGATTTGACGGATGAAATAGTCATCCTCCTGCAAGCCAAACCCAATAAAAGAGCGCTAATAACTTAAGGAAATGAGGCAGAAGATACTTGACAGAGGCACAAATGGGTGAGATTTCCCTTCTTTTGTATCTGCTTATGAAGGAGCTGGCGGAGCCAGAACCATGCGTGGCAGAGCGCTGCTGGGCCCAGCTTTGGGCACCAACATGGCACTGGGGATGGGTTGGTGTGAGAACATCCTCTGCGTGTTTTCCTGGTGAGGGTGGCACATGCTGTCACTGGACCTGCAGCTTTTGGGGTCTTTTGGCTGTGTGCCCCATGCACATCCCCAAGTGGGGTGAGCTCGCGGTGCGCCGACCCACATCTCCTCCACCTCCCCCTATCAGTGCAGCCTTCTAAAAACACTTCTTTTTTTTTTTTTTCCTTTTTTTGTGAGCCAGGTCCCGGATTCCAAATCTAATTGCATGAAACGAGTGGCTTTCAGCACTTCTCATCCTACACAAATAGTTTCCATTTTGATTCCCAATCTTCTTGACAAAGTATTTGAAAGTTGTTGTTTTTACTGCAATATGAGTATTAGAAAAAATAGCTCTAGTCAGTGAACTTGGAAGTCATGGAATAATAATCCAACAACACAAGCCTTCTTGGAAAACTCTTCTGAGAATAACAGTGCCCTTGGGCATGTCTAGAGCCTTGTTTATTAAAACAATATAATTTAAGAATTAATGCATTTATAAAGCAGGACTTATTACATAAGAATATTGTGCTTCTTTCATCGTTACAAAGGATCTAGTTACTAAATGAATGTAACCCATTTTAGAGGTTTTTCTCTTAATCTTATTTGGATTTAGGTAGCTGTTTTTGAGAAAAATATGGAAGACGGGAGAAAAAAAAAAGGAAACCTTTCCACAAATACTCATGTCAGCCAAACTCTTCACGGGTTCTGCTTCTAAAACTGAAGAATGCAAGAAGAGATCAGAATTAGGGGAAATAAATCACATTCCCAGAAAGCTCTCTATTTGTGTTGGAACAGAGTGTGTCCGAGGGAGAAGGGAGATATTGGGGGACTGAGAGTGTTGGGAAGCACTGAAAGCAAATCAAGGTTCCAGTTCTGCAAATAGTTATGCAAGTGGCTAATGGACGTGCTGGCTGTGCTGCCCGGTCACTGGTGGTCTGCACGCACCAAGGGCTGAGCACAGACTGGCACAGGGACACGGCGGGGTATGGGAACACTGCTGGGTGCCGTGCTGATGCCACTGCTGCTGATGCTTGTATCGATGCCAATGCAATGCCAGCTCCCCAGCCCTGGGCTCAGCTTCCTGAAGACCAGGTCCATGCTTCTCAGTGGCTCCTGGCAGGTGGCAGTGGAAGCCACTCCTCCATGGGTACGGCCCTGCACTGCCCCATCCATACACCAGCAGCCCCACGGTGGGCACGAAGAGGGGCTCATCTCAAAGTCGCTTTTGGTTGGGAAAAGTCTGAGTTTCATAAGCCCTTTTCAGTGTGAATTTTTTGAAACTTTTCAAAGTGATATCACTTTGAGGTTTTCCACTGCTTCAGAATTTCTTCCAATTAATGGGAAAAACATTAATGTCCATTTAGGAAAATAACTTTTCCACTACTGACAAACTTCTCCAGCTATGCCTTATGCAGCAGAAGTCGTTCCAGGGGCACTTTGCCCCAAACAACCAGCTATCTTATTTATGCTAATTTTGCTTTTAATAATCCTGGTTGTTTTTCAGTCTCCAGTACCTTCCATCAGACTCTGGGACAGTTAGCAGACATATAAATAGAATGTGCTATAATAGGGCTGTAAATGAAATTGATGGTTGCTGTAATTGAAAGCGTTCAGGTCAGGGGATTGTTTCTCAAACACTTGTGTCTGTTCTTATTTGGAGATTTCACCATTTTGAAAAATTCCTCCCCTTTCAGTTTTTGGGGTCTGGGAATTTCTGTGATCAGCACTGAGAAACTGAGCAGTGTTCTGGTACCCTGCACCTGCTTCTCTTTCATGTGCTGCTTTTCTGCACCCTCAGTTCAATAAACCATCCCTTTCCACAGCACAGAACTCAGTGTATGTGCTGTTGTCCCCAGGCCGTACCTCCCAGGGCTGATATTACAAGCTAGGTTTCTACCTCATAAATTCCCTTTCTTCCCTCCCTTATATATCTGCATCATGCATAATCCAGAATTATCCTTTAATACAACTGGATAAAGCACCTGGGTGAAAACATGCGAACAGCCAAAACAGAATGGGGGGATTGCACTGGCAGCAGCCAACAGATCAAGTGGGAGCAGTCAGAGCCCTCACAGTCCTGTGAGCACCTGAGTGTGGGCATGGGAGAACCAGCTGGGGGGGTTTGGGGGACAGCACAGAGTTTTGGCCATGCCCACAGTCCTAAGAGTGGGGAGATTGAGGTTGGATGTGAGGAAGCAATTCATCACTCAGAGGGCAGTGAGGCCCTGGCAGTGCTGCCCAGAGCTGTGCTGCCCCATCCCTGGAGGTGCCCGAGGCCATGGATGGGCCCTGGGCAGCCGGAGCTGGGGGCAGCCAGCACGCAGCAGGGCTGGGGGATCTGTAAGGCTCCCTCCAACCTCAGCCATTCTGTGATCCCATAATTCTATGATTGTGCCTCATTAAATATTTCATATTTGCTAAAAACTCCGAATTTCAGACAGTTTTAAGGCACAACTTCCTCAATTCCAAATATTTTCTTAAGGATCATTTTCAGCACGAGTTCCATCCACGTTTCAAGTCGGTTTGAATTTCCAAGTTACAAGCTCCGCTGTTATCATTACCATTCAATACGGCCATTCGTTACCAGGAAGGCAGTGTGGTGACTCCATCACTGGGAGCCACCAGCCCTGGGCTGTGCACGGACACAGGGGATGTGATGCCCACCGTCATCAGTGCCACGGGGCTGTGGCCAGGTGAGCAGTGGGGATTTGTCAGCGACAGAGTGATAACAGCAGCAATAGTGCACAGCCACCAGGGCTGATGCGTATCTGGCACAGGGCTGAGCGCAGCCCCAGTCGCTGGGAAGCTTTGAGCTTCGGAGCCTCGGAGCCTGAAGGAAATAAAGCCCTTGGTAAAATAAGCGGATCAGATAAGCTGGGAGAAAAATGGAATCGTGCAAAGTAAAAATACCTAATCTAGCTGTTTTTGACCGCATACAAAAAGCAAGAGCTGATCCTAAAAGATACTCGCTGAGTGCGTGTTTGCCAGCTCACAGCTCTCTATCTTACTTTTAAGAACATGGAGATCTGAGCCGGGGCCAACGCATCGCACTGTGCACTGCTCCTAACCAGCATTTAAAGACCTGGAAGCATTTCAGCTGAGGAAACGCTAAGATTGTATTTTGTGACATTTTAGAGACAATGATCCGTTGGTCCAAATGAATAAATAGTGTTTTAGAGCGTTGGGTCCGTAATGCAAGCACTGGTGTGCAGGGAGCTGCTGGAATGCATGCCTCACAATGGGCACTGCTGCATTCCAGTGGGTTCCCAGCTCAACTGAAGAAAAGAATTGGGTTCACATCACCCTCCCTTAAAAAAAGACTGGCACATTTTTGCTTTATCAAACCCCATTTGCAAAAGATGAAGGCTAAATGATCTGAAAAGGTTATTTTGAAGCAGGGTCACCCTCGCTGCCACAGGTCTAATAAAACAAAACTATAGCCAAATTAGAAACATATTTCATCTAATAGGGGAAAATATAATTGGTGAATCTGTCTGGTGTTTGACCTACAGTATTTATGCTAAATGAAAGTTTAAATATATCACAATGCAGCCTGAGCAAGAAAAGCTGCATTCACTATATCTTCTGTGGTTTGATCCCTTTCCCTTAACCCTTAGCTTCTCACGAAAGCCAACATCAGCATTGCACAGATGCTATGAAGCAAGAGCGATGGCCAAGATCTGCAGAAGTGATGAGTGATTCTGGGTAAGTGCCCGAGGGACCTGGGGAGGGCTGAGGAAGTGCTGTCAGACCTCAGGGCAAACAGGGGACACTGTGCTCTGCTGCTCCCAACGCTGCAGGGTGGGGTTGGGGTACGGGCACTAAACCCCACTCCTGGCACTGTCCTCGTGGGCATGGGGTGATGCAGGTATGACCTGGATGCAATGAAGATATGAATCCTGTCAGAGCTTCCAGCTCCTCCCCAGCCCCGGTAATTTATGCTCTCCGTAAAAGCAAGAGGATCCCCGAGCAAAAGTGATGGATGAAGGAGATTATTACCAAGGATATCATTTTAAGAGAGTCTGTCTATGGGTTCCTCACAGTTACATAACATTTCATAAATTCCATAACAGATTGCTCCCTGCTCATTAACCTGGCAGCCTCCGGCCCCACTGTGGGGTGCCCATGCCTTGAGTTCTGGGGGGCAGAGCAGGGCCATGCCAGGTACCCAATCACTGCCATGGCACACACATGGCTGGGCCCCACAGCTAGGGATGGCACCAGAACAATGCTCATCCACCCTTACCACTGCAGAGAGAAGGATTTCTGGTATGGTTTTTGGCACTGCAGTGGAAGCAAGCACAGTTTATCCAGGTCTAGACATCAGCTGCACAAACAGTGCTCAGTGTCAGCACAGCAGGTCTGCGCCCCGTGTCTGCAGTGGGAGGGGAGGCCACGCTCAGCCCCATGCACCTGGCTGTGCCCCATGGCTCAGCACCCAGCAGTTACAGGCACCCAGCTTGCACAGGGCCGTGCTCACAGCACTTCTGCCCTCTGTTGCAGTGCTGCTGCCCCAGCAGTCAGGTTTTCCCCTGTGCCAGGAGCAGCGTGGGGCAGAGCAGAGGAAGCCTTGGCAGGGCTGCTTGGTGCTCCCTCTGACAAGGGACACATGCCAGTCCCTGTGTTCCCCAGTACTCATGTGTCTCAGCAAAAATCATGCACGCTCAGCCAAAGTTATGCAGCTATGATTCATCCCTTGCAGGAGTTTGGGCTGAAAGCAAAGATCCCGACAACCAAGCAATCCTTTAACCTCCAAACAGGAGGCAGAGGGATGCACGGAGCCTTCTGCTGATGCACTCAGGGCAGTCATCATGCACAGGCAGGACAGGCTCTGCCCAACCAGGCACTACTTTCCTTCCTGGAGATGCATAAAAATCCCACAGAGAGCAGCAGAGCCACGACAAGGAGTTGAGAAGATGGACTTAGAATGGGGAGCTTTTTTCCTTTTTTCCTTTTCTTCTTCTTCTTCTTTTTTTTTTTTTTTTTAAAGCTTCACGTGGAAGAGAAAGAGGCTAATTAAATTCTTTTGCTGAACGTATTTAGCGAGTCTTTCAGAGAACCGATTGCTTTTGGCTGCTGTCCAGCAGCGGGGAGATGGGATTGTGCTGGGTGAGGAGTGGGAGCAGAGCCCGGATGCAGGAGGAAGCACAGTGACTGGCTGACAGGCTCTGGCCTGTCTCAGATGTGCAGGAGAAGTGATAAATGTGGCCAAGGTGTTCTGAATTCCTAGAGCATGGGGAATCCACTCTAAAGTGGATCCTTGCTCTGCCACATCCTCCAGTGCGGTGCACACACCACGCCGTCTCCACTGATACCTTCATTAGTGTTTATGCAGCACCAACCATTCCCTGCATCCAAAAATAAAGAAAACTGCTTGTTGCATCAGCAGCCACGAGGAACCTCTCAGAGCTGCACCGATGTTGAAACACACACAGGTTTCCAGCCTCATTCATGTCCAGCAAGCATCAAACGCCTCTGAGCACGGGTGCTCATCTGAGCTGAGCTTCAGGCTCCTAGCCGGCTCTGCCTGTCCCAGTGCCACAGGTGAGATGTGGGGGGGTGCACGATCACGGGCACTGTTCCTGCTGGGGCGCAGCTCCAGGCTCTTGGGAGCACAGTACCAGCCTAGTGAGCCGCTGCAGTGCGTGGGGCTGGGGACAAGGCAGCGCGGTGATGGGCTCCCAGCAGCCAGCAGTGAACCCCTGTCCCACACACAGCGCCAAAGCTGCCCCTGCACCAAGCCAGCCACTTGGTGAGACATCAGCCCCTGCAGGGTGCCACATTTACATCTCCTCACCTATTTCCGGGGCAAACTGCCTGATTTTATGATGCCTGACCGGCTCCCTCGGGGATATCATTAGTGGGCAGTTAGTGAACCACAACACGAGGTTCTGCTTTTCCCACAAGGTTTCTGTGAGAAAACCCTCCTCCCTTCCCCCATCAGGGTTATCTTATCTCCCAGCGCCGCCAAGCCCAGTCCTTTAACCCCTGCGTGCCAGAGAACCCTGGGGCCAGACCATACTGCACTGGGCATTCACTCACCAGCACAGCCCCCCATCCCCGTTCCCACCCCTATCCCCATCCACAGCCTCAGTGGCTGCTCCCAGCACCTTTCCCCACTGCTCAGGCAGCTCCTCAGCTCTCCTGGGCAGCTTCTGCCTCTGATTTCAGCTCTTTGGCATAAGCCATTTTTGCGGAGAAAACATCTGTCCATGAGTTTAAAATAGAGATGCTGAACGCGCAATCTCTGCTTTAACATCCACACAGGCCTGAGGCTTTGCAGCCTCGCAGGCACCGTGGCCGCAGACACCCTGCATGCTGAGCATGGCCCTGGGGCTCACACTCCATCACTGGTGCAAGGCATTGCGCTGGGAAAGCCTTAACAGAGAGACAGCTTCATCCCGAGCAGATGGTTCAAATTTGTTGCTAACCCGTATTTATTTAGACTGATAATAACAGGCAGCCCTCCAATCGTGCCGGGAGTTTTTACAATAAACTCCAGCTCACAGTATCAAAAGCAAATCAATTAGCGGGCGCTGTCGGGCCCCACCCCGGGCAGCAATGCCCGCAGCCTCGTGCGGCGCTGAGCCCCAGCTCCTTCACAGCTCCTTTTAATTTGCTTCAGGGAGAGCTCCAGTGATGCTCACTAAGGGGAGGATTGATTTAGACATGCAGTTTTCTCCACAGACTTCGCAAATGGTTGTAACAAGGTCACAGAGAAAAACAATTTTATCCTCTGATTACTGTAACATGATATGAGCTTGGAACTGCATTTGCCTATTTATTTAGGCGTTGCATGGCTGGTCCCTGAAGGAAAAGTTCCTGGTGCAGGAACAGGACCGTTCCCACCAGCCCCACGCTCAGGTGCTGTGGTGGAGCCCAGGGACATTCCCCATGTCCTTTCCATTGGCCCAAAAGGCAAACCTGAAGAATGCAGCAAGGAAAGAACATGGCACATCAGCTATTCTTGATCAAGCTGAACTGATACAGAAAGAAATGGATACAGCAGTTGTACACGCCTCACTGTGTGAGGATACTCATCCGGAGTGAAATACTACAAATATGCAGCAGATTGTCAAAATAACGGGAATGTAACAAAATCACAATATTAAGCCGTATGATTGCAATCAGCCCTAATTCCAGCACAGCCATGCTTAAAGGAGATTGTTTTGTCACCAGGCTTTCATGGCCCGATGGCTTTGTAGCACAAGGTTGTTTGGATCAAGTCATTTCTGATGAACATTCATCACAGTGAGGAAATGTCACATTCATTTTATGCTGCGAAAGTTCATAAACTTTCTCGAATACCGTGAGGACTTCCCAGCGGGTGACCTGTTGCCTCACGGTGATTTACACACCGTGGATGGGCTGAGCACAGGGTCAGCACCGAGAGCTGCAAGCCTGGCACCAAAAGCAGGGAGCCCTCGGCACACCACGGCCACGGGGGTGTCCCAGGTCCCCTCCACCCCCCTTCTCCAAGGGTTAACGCTCCCGCGCAGCGAGCGGTGGGGGTTCTGCTGACTTTCTGCTCTTACATCATGGCTGTGCTATGAGGCCTGGCAGGGGTCCGCGCTCCGGCGCTGCAGCTCGAGGCCCCGAGCGCTGTGTAATCTTTGGCAGGCGGCGAAGGAGCCTCACACGGGGCCATCGGGGCGTGGGGATGGGGCAGGGGCAGCGCACGCCCTCCCCTTGCTGGGGCTGCAGGGGATCACCCAGAGTCAGTGTTGGGGTCTCATAGCTCGGGGAAGAATGTGCCAAAAATCCCCCTACAGCTCCTCCCAGTCCTTAATCAGGCTTGGTTCGGTGCTGCACAGCTGTGCATGGCATAGCATGGCACAGTGTAACATGGCATGGCGTGGCTCCATGTGGCTCAGCACAGCAAGGCACGGCACAGATCAGCGTGGTGTGGCTTGGCTTGATACAGCCTGGCTTGGCACAAGGTCACTCCCTGGGATGCCCTCGGTCCATCGGGGCACGCATCATATCAGGGCCATTTTGACAGTAACACACATGCCTCCACAGGTCCAGACTATGGGAATGAGCTCACAGAGCAAAACCAGGCAGCTGGAGTCAGCTACTCCCTAGAATCATCCATTACCCCATGACAGGAGGGGAAGTCGGGGACACGCTGCTCAGGGGAGGATGAGGCCAGAACCAGAGGGCGGTGCTGAAGGTGAGGCTGTGAGCCGGGAGGCAGCAATTGCATTTCCAGATGCAAAAGCCCTGGGGGCTGCACACCCCCTCCTGCTTTGGTTGCAGGCACCAGCAGCCCCAGGAGCTGCATTCTGGGAGGGAAGGGTGGGCACTGATGATCACCAGGGCAAGGTTTTTCTCCTGAGCAACACTGGTGCTTAGGAGGAGAATGAACACCTTATGGGTAATGTTACAGAGGAGACCCAGCTGGGATAAATTGCAAATACACCAACAGAAACAGAAGTGGAACTTGGAAGAATTAGGAAAATGCAGAATGTGACCAAGAAAAACATAGCTGGGACCAGTGCAGCTGACATGGTTGAGATGTAAGGGAGGAAGTATCAAAATCTGGATGAGGTTACAAGGGAAGAAGCAAAAGAGATTTGGGATGAGTCTGCAGTGATGGATGAAAGCAAAGATTGTTTCCAGTGGCGGTATCACTTCAGGCCATGGAAATGCAGCTGCTCTGTCAGTGACTGCAGCAAAGCTGGGCACCAAGCACCCATCTGGGCTTCTCCAGGGCACCAAGAGCACTTGGAGACATCCAAGATTCACCATGCACCGTGCCAGCTCCTCTGGGCAGAGGGGCAAGGACAGTGCCACATGCATCCTCCACTGCACCATAAAGAACTGAACCTGAGCATAAGTGAAGCATTGCTCTTTTTTATTTCTCCTGGCAGAAGGTTTTGTCAGATACCCGAGGGAAGCAGTGGAAACTTTTGTTGTGTGTTCTAGCTGTGTGAAAAACAAAACCAAAGCGCAAATAAAAACACAGACTGGGGATTGGTAAAATATATCTTAGGGTGCAAACTCATGAGGTGACCCAAGAGTCCTTTAGCACCTCTGGGTCTAGAAAGCAGTGAGATCTGTTAGATTCACCTATTATTCAGCAAAACAACATTAATTGGAACATGGGAAAATCATCAGCAGCAATGTCTTTTCAAAAGTTACATGTAATAAAACCCATCCACAGAAAAAATAAGCAGGAGTGTGCATGGGACTAATATTAAATTACCTTGGTTTTACCATATCAGAACCGAAGGGAACACGGTGACATCTGGACAAGCTATCAGCAGTATCAGCCCCACATGTCGCAGCCGAGGTCAGCACAGCCATCAGAGCCACAGCCAGCACTGCCCTGGGCTGGGGGTTGTATTTCCCAGCACCAGATCTCCACATGAGGAATGGCCACTTTTGTCCCAGTGCACAAGGAGAGGAGGAGGAGCAGGCCACCAAGCTGGAAATAATCCCTAACTAGTTCCTTCTCCTCGAAAAGTAGGTTACTTCCCCATGGCTAACATCACTGTCACCTTTTATGTGCCTTAGAAATAAACGGGCTTGATGGATGTAGAGTAAAACTGAAATGAAATGCTGGGAGATAATGGCCTCGCGTGCTGCTCCCCCAGCCCTGCACCGTGCTGCTGGCTCCATGCAGCCTGCAGAGAGAGCAGCTCCTGCACTGCCCTGCAGCATCCTTGGGGCCATAGCAGCACCAGCGCTGCTGGCATGGGAGGGACGGGGGAGAAAGCCTTCATTGGAGAAGGAGGAAAGGAGCGAGGAAGATGGGGTGCAGTCCATGCTGATGGAAATAAACACATTCCCCGACAGCTGCACAGAAAAATAGCCTCTTCCCACTTTCTGCATTCAGGAAGATGGAAAGGTCAGTGTGGTGATGGTGCAATCTCACAGCCAACTCCTCACATCCAGAGCAGCTCGAGGTGCCCCATCCACACACATCTTCCAGCAGCAGCTGCAGAT